CCATTAAGAGTTGAAACTGTCATTAACTGGTTAACAGAATTCTCATCCAGGGAAATGTTGCTGGCTTGAAATTGGTTTTCATAGTATAGATGTGACAATTTCAGTGAGTTTTTACTCTTATTGCATACAAGAAACCAACAAGAGAACTGGTCAGACATTCAGGAGTTTTCTATCAGCATCACCAGGGCAATAATCTACTTTAGTATCCACTCAAGAGGTGCACTATTCCAATAAACTAATAAAATATGGCACTAAGCTAATAAAAACACGTAATTTAAAAACCACCTTACAAACTGAAATGGTGGTGCATTGTCAATCGTCTTAGATTTGCAACTATATTCTTGCCATTTTATTAGAAAGTTTTTTTTTCTCAGACTTAAGTTATTCATGGTCATTGGTGTTTCCACATGAAACGACTTGAAATCATAGAGGCTTGATGCAGAATTGTGCATATATAATAACGGCATTTTTCTTTAAAGATTAGGGTTTAAAGTAAATAGAATAGCAATAGCATCACATGCTTATTTGTTATTTAAAAATAAAAATTTTCAGTGTAGTGATAGCTTCCTAACTGCTCAAGCATTCTATGTTTAGCATTCCACAAAATTTAAAATATATGCCGGGGAAAAAGAGAGCCTGTGGTCAAATAAATTTGGGATGTCCTAGACTTTTCCCCAAGTTTGACCAAACACGTCTGAGCCTCATGCTGTAAGGAAGGCCTTTTCAATTACTCTTCCTGCAGAATAATACAAGCAGCTACCATTTGCTAAGCACTCATATATCACAGTGCATGTGTTACGTTAACTCAACAACACTTCTAAGAGAGATGAACACTATCATCACCTGTTTTACCGAAGAGGAAATAGTTCTACTTTACAAAGAACCCAATGCATTTAAACAATTAGAACATTTCCAGAATGTATACAGATGTTAAATTCTGAAATCATTTTTTTAGAAAAAGATCCATTTCTAAGTTTCATCACTGGATGAAAGGAAAACAAAAGTCTGGGAGATGTACTCTGATAATGCCAGTTTGCTTTCCCACAGGAAGGTTCCATCATTAATAATCGTGATTACTCCACAAGCTTCCAGAATTACCTACACATTTCATCTGTAACTGACAATCTTCAAAGTAGTTTAAAATTCTTCAGAGGTTGTTTTCTGCAGGATGCAGATAAAGGCACAAACTAGGCACAAAAAGCTAAGGCTAGGGATTGAAAGTTTAGGAAAGAGTTATCAGGAAAGTCAAGTCTATTCACTTAAGAGAAAAAAGGCAGCTGGAAGCACAAGGTTTTGAAAAGCACACTTGACTGGTGAGGCCATCTGTCCTCAGCTTGGTGTGTATGTGTGTGGTAGGCACAAGCACCAAACTCGTAGGAAACCAGGCTTAGTCTGCCAGTACCGAGGAGCACAATGAAGACTTTGTAAACTTGCAAAGTAGAGGCAGATAATCCATATCACCAGTTAGCTGAAGAGGAATTTCACTTCTCTGGAACACAGGTCACCTGCAGAATCAAGTGCAAAGTCATCTGTCCCAAACAAAAATCCTTGGAAACACCTAGAAAACCACATTGCTTGCTTCTGTAATTGTAGCTAAGGAATTCTGCATGTGAAGCAAATACCTTGGGAAAAATCTAACATGAGCTTAAATTCACACCTCAAATTAGGCAAAGAAGAGTGTGTTATATACCTTTCTCAACTGAATATTCTTCAGCTGGAACCTGTTCAGAAAATAAGAGGAAGTGATGTTTAAGAACAGCCCACTTGGGGATCAGTAACCTTTTGTACAATTACTTATTAATAATAATAGTTCTTTTGGCTAGTTCTATGTATATTCCACCCTGGCGGTGATCACTCAGGGTAGCCTGTAGCCTCATGATATGGAAAGTGAGCTCAGGTTTACACTTAGCAGGCCTCATTTTGCCTCACATACTTCTACTGATGATGATCAGCCAACCAGACATAGCTTTTCTCCTTGGTCCCAAAGCCTCGTTTCAAAACTAATAACAACAGGCAGTTCTTAATTTGTTCTTGCTTTGCTTTTGCTTAAATAACCCAAAGTAAAACTAGAATGAAATGGAAGTTGCAATTAAAACTTCCTTTTTTAAATTTAGAAAGATTATTTCACCAGGCATTGGTGGCTTACATCTGTAATCGTAGCTACTCAGGAGGCTGAGATCTGAGGATCTCGGTTCAAAGCCAACCCAGGTAGGCAAGTCTGTGAGACTTAGGCAAGTCTGTGAAACTTATATATTAACCACCAGAAAACTGGAAGTAGCACTGTGGCTCAAAGTGGTAGTGTACTAGCCTTGAACAAGAGCTCAGGGACAGCACACAGGCCCCTGACAAAAAAAAAAAAATTAAATTTCCAAATAGTACGTACTAATCTATGGGTGATGGGTTTTACAAAGCTTTTAATTTATAGTTTCCATTCAAGTTTTAACAACAGCCATTGACTTTTGATTATAAGAGAATTTGCATTTACAAAAATACTTTGCAGATTTTGAAGCCTTTCAGAATAGCATTCCATGCTTTATCTTAATAGCAAAAAGAAAGGTTTTTCTATGGCAAGTGGAAGTGTGATAGAAACAAATGAGCCTTCCAAGACTTTAGAGAACATTTCTCCAGGCGGGCCATATTTGGAAGATTATGAGGATTTCTATCTGCAAGACTAAGCAAATAGTATGTAATTTCCATTCGAAGGCACATTTTTCATAAGCTAACATCTCGGAATTGATGTTTTTTAAAAAGTAGGTTTGATAGGGTTCATACACTACAGGAGTTACTAATTTGAGTTTAATGGTGCTTATATATATATATATATATACACACACACACACACATATATATATGCACTCACAATTGTATAATCACTATTAAGTTCAGAATACCTTAATCAGTTAAAAAAGAAATGTACTTATTACCTACCTGATATATGCAACTGTAAGCCCTCTGTACACTATATATATATATATATATATATATATATATATATATATATATATATATATATATATACACAATTAAAAAAAGAATACTTTCACCATGTCCCAAATTCACTGTTACTTACCAGTCACTTTTTATTCCATTCTCTTTTTTGGTGCCGGTCCTGGGGTTTGAACTCAGGGCCTGGAATCTGTCCCTGAGACTTTTTGCTAAAGGCTAACATTCTACCACTTGAGCCACAGCTCCACTTCTGGTTTTTTGTTTTTTGTTAGTAACTGGAGACAAGAATCTCATGGACTTTGCTGCCTTGGCTGGCTTCAAACCACAATCCTCAGATCTGTCTCCTGAGTAGCTAGGATTACAGACGTGAGCTACCAGCACCCAGCTCTTTATTCCTTTCTTAACCCCTGGCAATACTAACCTTTTTGTCTCTAGATTTCCTTGTATTTGACACATAATCTGTAGCTTTTTGTGCCTGGCTTTCAAGGTTCACTTCTGTTGAAATACATATTGGAATTTCATTTTATAGCCAGGTATTTCATTGTATGCATATGCCACATTTTATTTAAACAGTCCTCCGTTGATGGACATGAGTTTTCATGTTTTTGCTGTTATTACTGTTATGAACACTCACACACTTTTTCTGTGTTGTTTGCAATTCTCTTGTATACACACACATGTAGGATTGGAACTATAGACCACGTTAATGGTATGTTTTACTTTTGAAGCAACATTTTATAATCACACAAATGCATGAGGGTTCTACTATTCCAACCTTGTTGGAATTCCAACAGTAACATTTGTTACTGTCTTCTTTTACTTCAGTCATCCCAGCGGACAGAAAATGGTACTGTGGTTTTAAATTACATTTCCCTGATGGCTAATGATGTTGAGCATGATAATCTGTGCTTATTTGGCCACTTATTGATCTTCTCTGAAAAACATCAGTTGAAATCCTTGGCTATTTTTAAATGGGGGTGTGTGTTATCAATGTAAAAGTTCTTTATGTCTTCTGGATAGGAGTTCTGTCTTTAAGTATTTCCTATTTTGTGGGTTATCCTTTTCACTCTCCCCCACCCCCTCCAACACACCCCATATTCTCTCTTTTGTCGGGACATTATTTAAGAAAGCATTAAGTAGGGTTAGAGATGTTGTTCAGTGGTAGGGCACTTGGCCACTCAATGACACACGCTGAATTTGACTGCTAGCACTGCACAAACAAAAGTAAAACAAAAATCATCAACTAATGCAAAGTTCCAAAATTTCTGCTTCTCTTAAAACTTCTGAAGTTGTAACTCTTGGACCCACTTAGGATTCAGTTTTGCATTTTGTGTGAGGTGGGAGGTCCAACTTCAATCTTTTGCATGTAGATATTTTTTTTGTCTATGCTTTATTTGCTGGAAACCCTCCCCTCCCCATCCTCACACTAAGTTTAGGCACATTTACGGAATGGGATTAATCTTACAAGTATTTTCTTGTGTTTTCCTACAGTAACAGACCTTATAATTCATGGCACCATAAATGGAACATCTTCCTCCTAAATAAAAGCCTATGTTTGTGTTTCCTTTTTAGGAAATAATTCTGATCAATAAAATTAAGAGCTCTTGAGTATCAGTGAGATACAAATTCAAATAATTTCTTAGGATAGACATATTTGTTAAGGCTTGAAGGTTTTATACAATCCTTATTACATTGTTAAAAGTGAATTAGGATTGTCACAAAAGTAGCAATATGACTAATGAACATGAAGAAAATTCATTAATTCTACAAGTCCATTTAAATTCTCTGGGAAGTTAAGATTTATTTGACAGCGAGAAAATGTCACAAGAAATAGTAATGTAAGCACTAATGGAATTTCTTTAATAAGAAAATTAGGGGATTTTTCAGACCTCAAACTTAAGTATGCATTTTTCCAAGTATAAAACAATGAACTCATCTGCATGGGGTTAATTTGGAAGCGTGAGAATGTAAAAATCAAATGTACCCACTTCCTATGGAATGTCCTGAGAACCCAAGGAATACTCCAAGTCTGAAGACAATGACCCACACACAGCGTGAGAATCGTTTAATAGTTTTTGAAGATATTTTCCCCCCTGCAAAATGGCTTGTATTTCCACAGGTACAACAGTGAAGAAATAAACTTTTCAATTTGACATGAAATATAAAAGAACAATTTTTACAAATATATCCATAAAATTTAACTGCTCATAACACTATACATGGTAAATATGACCAGTCCCTTAACTTCTAGGCTATTTAATACAGAGAAGCAATCTGTCATGTCAACTCTAAAGACACAACTTCCCTTTTATTGAATTTTATTTTTGTCTGTTTAGAAACAGTTAAGCAGAATTGGAAAAATATTTTTTCCCTATATTTCTCCCTTAGGGATTCGTTGTAAGGACAAAACTTTACTTGAGAGGCTATGTAAGTCTAAGAAGAAAATACTGAACTTTTCTTTTTCAATGTTGTTTTGCTGCTTCAGTAATGGAAGCAGCATCTTTAAAAACAGATCCTGAAATTGTCTCATTGGCCTTTGGTTCATAAAGCAAAGACAACAGAGCTGTGCTTTAGGTCCAGCATGCAGGAGGAACTTCTGCTGCTTCATCCACAGGCTACAAACAATAGGGACTAAGATGGAGAGCCAGGGGACAGAGCTTAAAAAACCAAGGTCCTGGCATTTGATGCTCAGATATTCCACTGCTCTGTGTGATGAGGCAAGATCACATAAAGACTGAAAGTTTTCACCCAATGGTGACCATCCACCTCTCGTGCACATACAAAGAACACAATGGCTTTAAAAAGTAGTGGAACAGGAATCATAAAATTGTAGCTAAAATTCTATAACCTAAAGTACACATAAATTAAGAGGTACACGTGCTCCTTAAACTCTCAAAAGTACCCAAATCATAATACTAAGCTTCCAAATGATAGAGGTTGGAGTTTATTCAATGGAAGCAAAAGCAAAAGGCATTGAAGCTTTGGAAGAAAAAGAGTGCTCCTCAACTTTTCATAATACAGTCTATGCAATAACTTAAAGTGAATTCCCTATTGGTGCTGGAAAATAAATTCTCCTACAATCATGTGTATGCCAGTCCTGGCATATTTCTGCATCCAGATTCATAAGTCTCCTTAATGGAGCCCATCATTTATTCCCATGGCTTTCTCCTTTCTTAAAACCCTAACCCTGAAATTCTATAACCAGTTATATCACAGGGGTTCCCTGAGGCACATAGGTACCAAGTTCTATAATTAACTATTGAGGGAGGATAAATACGCTATTTCTACGAAAAGGTTTCCATTCTTTTGGGCCACAGATGGGGGAAGAAACCCAGGAAGGTGAATACATATTTTGCAGTGTCAACTGTAGCCCTTTTTGCAGAAAGCTGAACCAAATAAGGGGAAATGTTGGAAGTTGCAGCATGCATGAACCCGGCAGCACCGATTATTAATAAAAAAATTCCAGACTAGAAAAATACTCAGAGTTGTACCCCATCTACTCTGAATCTTTTTTTTTTGTAGTAAACTGACATAAACAACGAAAAAAAATTATCTATGGAAGGAAGTACATCAACTAGGGCTTTATTTCTGGAAACATTTGAAAAAGGCATATTGATCCGTCAGGCTGAGACCACGATTTCTTTATGTACATATGGGAGGGGTGTGATTTGTCCTTTAACTGTGATGACAAGTCAGACATAAGAACAAAAGTGACTTTGGGAAAGTTATCTTTTCTCAATTCTATTACTCTACTTGGGTAACAGAGTATTACTAGAGGTTTAAATTTTTTTTGTTATTCTCACAAACTAAGTCTGAAAAACTACCTCATTAGTCATAAGCGTCAGGGAATCTTACTGGATGTAGCCAAAGTAAGCAGTTTTCTTCTGCAGACATGTCACCTTCCCACCCCTGCTGAGGTAAGGAGGACAGGAGGGGTCCTAACTGGAACCTAGACAGCCATGCACTGCCACCCCCGCCTAAGTTTCAACGTGCATGTAAACTATCTGATTCCTCTACAAATCAGAAACTTTTTAAGTTGGATGATAGCATAATTTGGGGGTATATGTTGTATTAAACATAGATCCTTGACATAGGAAATGATATCAGAGTGTAACTTCCTAGAATAATGAAAACTATTTTGATAAGTGAGATCCAACCTTTCTAGGTAGAAGATCATCTACCGTCCAAGATAATCATAGGGTATCCAGAACCCTCAATCCACCTCTATCCATCTATCAAGGTGAGGCACATCTCACCTTGTGCCCCCATCATTCAGCCAAGAATCACAGGCTGAAAAAGACATACTTTATCCACAAAAGCTAAGCACTAGAGGCTCTGGCCACATTAGATGACAATAGACATATTCTAGACAATGCCACATTTTCTCATCCTTTTCTGTCTGCAGGTTTAAAGTTACAGAAGAATAGAAGAAACAACCAATAGGAAGACTTTCACATCATTTAAAGAATCACCGAAACAGAACTTAGAACAAAACACCTCATCCTAAACAGTATCTCCACTGAAAAATAAAGCTATTTTAAAACTGATAGGCTCAAACTTTTGAAATAGTCAAATTATACAGCAGCAATTAAAATAATATATCTTACCACTTTCAGGAAAGGAGTACTCAAATAGGTGAGAATGACTGAAAAGTAGGCAAAATATGGAAAAATCAATTCAAGTATGGATAGAGTATATTAGAATTATATAAATTACACACGTATTTACAAAGGTTAAAAATGTAGTTCAAATCTGTGACAGTGAATTTAAGAGGGTGTTAGTTTAAATGAACAAATGAGTACCTGCTCCATGTGAAGAGATCAACTTCAACTCAGCCAGTTTTTCTACATGTCTGGGAGCAGCATTGCTACTGGTATTGGGTTCAGAGAATGTGAATCCACGAATTATTAGCCAAAATGAAATGAAACTAAACAGAAAGGGATGGCAGAGCTCATATGAAATTCTGATTTAATTATTCCGTAGTAAACACTCATTTGTGCTCTCAAAATCAGGAATTTCTAATTATCTCTGCAGATGTACCACTTGGTGTTGTATATATCTAATGATCACATTTAAATTTAGTTTGATTTGCAAACATTTTCCAAACTTAGAGGGCTCCTTAAGCTACAGGGGAAGGTGACAGATGGCAGAAAGTGAGTGAACAAAAGTGGCTACCTCAGAGTGGCTCACACAATTTTGGCTTTCTTAAGGAAAAAAAAAAAAAGAAAAAAACAAATCAAAATCCTTATGAAACCCCCACAAGTGGTTTTAAAAAGTAAAAGCGTGCTTCTAATCACCCTTAACTCTTAAATAATTCAGTATACAGAGAAATGCAGTACTGTAGTACCTAGGCCATGCCTACTGCTCTAATAGCCATCCTCAGTTCGTGAATTTTTAAGAGCTACTATATTTTAATCAGTGAAAGAGTTCAGCATGTAAGATGAGGATCAGGGACAAACCACATTAAGCAGAAATAACAAAGAGCAGACTAAGGAGTTACGGAAAATTCTTTGTTCGAAATGCCAAGTATTTGATGAATGGGTGTATTAAGTAAGTTCCACTGAAGTTAAAAAAAAACCCACAACAATATATGAATAGTCTTTCCCCCCGCCTCCCCCCCAAAAAAAAGTCAGTGGCTGTCAGAGTGTCAGTCAATGGGACCTTGGAAAATCAGTTTGATGCAGTTCTGCTCTCCCACTAACTGTGTGGCACAGAAGGGGCAGGCAGCGTGAAATGCGTGAGTTCCGTGTGGCAGCGGGATCTGAGACCAGTATTTTGCGGACTTTTCTGAGCACACATGTCCACAGGGGGTGAAGGCGTGCGTGGGAGGCCCCGCATCTACGTAAAATCCCGCCTCGCAGCCGAGCCAGAGGGGAACATAGGGGCCCACAGTCCGGCACATCGGACACTCCCTCTCGTTGGCCTCAGTGTCACTCCGATGACCCCAGTTGTGGTAGCCGTGCACGTGGCCGCAGCTGAGATACGCCCAAGGCTGCTTCTCCTCTACTACCTCTTTCCTGTTGATGCTGGGGAAGACCAGGGTGTTGAGCCCCACAGGACACTGGGGCCGGGCGGCATTGATCTCCTGCCTGAGGGCTTCGATGTGTTTCTGGGTGGGAGTGTGAAAAAGGCCATCGGCTGTTCTCCAAAGAAGGGTGGCCCCACACAGGTCAATGAGGGAACCATCCTGCAGGACATTGGTCTCACTTTCCACCTACAATGGGTTTGACAGACACACCTTTTAACAGCAAGATCCTGAGAAACATGGGACAGATCATTCTAACTTTCAAAATAAAACTAGCATTTCAAAGACTATACATGGAGTCAATTGTTCCCACTGAAAGCAGGACTGCCAAAATAATCTAACCTCCCTGAGCCTCGTTTCCTTATCTGAACACCCGATATATAACATCTCTGTCTAGTGTACAAAGCTCTGAATACAAAACATCTAACTGTACCAGGACAGTTAATGTGATGATATTTTAATGGGCCTCACAGATTGCTTTAGATTTTAACTCCTGATTTTGGGAACACAGTCTCTGATCTCATAAGACATGGTGTGGTAGAGCAGAAATAGTAAGTAACAAAAATGACCTAACACAAACCTCCAGTAGAGAATGTAAACTAGGTTGAACAGTTCTCCCCGGTTTTATTTTCCATCTGTGTTTCTTATGGGAATTCTGAAAAAACTTGTTTTTTTCCTGCTTGGTACTGGACTCTACCTAACATTTTCTAGGAACCTCTTAGTGGCTGTGCCACAGAGCTCTGGCAAGATCAGAAACCTCAAGCTCCCCATTTAAGGTATTGCAATAAGCCTCTCGAGAAGAAAGGGCTAACACTCGACTGTTCTGAGACAGGCCATGAGTTGTGATTATCAGGAAATAGTAGTATGCCAGGGCAATGAAGTATGTGAATAATTTCAAGTAACAGTTTAGTGAATTCTATATTACTTTCTTATGAAGAACTTAAAGGAGAGCTGGGTTAATTATGTCGTAGTTCTGGAATGTCTAGATCATTTACTTTTTATTTCAAAATTTTCACAAAACTTGGTCTTGCATTGCTGTGAGTTTTTTGGAACCAGTTGGAAGTTTTTATGTTCTTACAGGGGATTCAGGGGGAACTCCGGGGTGACTCGGAACCCACTTACCAGCTTTCCCCGCTGCTGGGCCGACCTGGTTTCACGTAAGGTGTACACGTCTCCACAGACAGAGATCTCTCGCCAGACCCCGGGCTGGGACTCCTCGGTGAAGCCCCCCCGGGGGTGCATCACCAGCACGCCGTTGGTCGTGAGACCGTCCATGTGGCCATCAGGGTTTGTCCACTTCGCTGCCTTTTCCTGGAGGGCACACCACAGATCAGAAAAGAGCCTGCCAGGGTCACTTTCACAGCGAGGGCACTCTGGTGTCACCTTAGGATGTGGGGCAGTGGTAGAGCAGAGGAAAGCGAGGATGTGCCACTTTCGGTTTAAAGCTAACAATCACAGGACAAAACAGTCCTTCTTCTGACAGTATAAAATATGTGCTAAAGAGGGGATGGTAGGGGAAAAACAATGGAGGGGGTAACAATGTTCAAGAGGAAGTGTACTCATTACCTCACTCATGTAACTGTAACCCTCTGTATAGTAGCTTTACAATAAAAAAAAAATGTAAAAAAATAAATAAATAAATCACCCTCAAAGGATTCTAAAAAAAAAAAAAATATGTGCTAAAATTGATGTGCATTCTATTCTCCTCAGGAACTTAACAGCATCTTGGCTCTTGTTTTTTTGTTTTTGGGTTTTTTTTTTCCCCCAGAGAAGCTCCCACTCCCTGGTGCAAAGCCAAGATGGGCAGATTGAACCCAGCGCCCCGCGCCTACTAGACAGCAACTTCCACCACTGGAATATTTTCCAATGAATAAACAACTCACTACTATTTTCTTTTAAACCCTAATGATCAAGATTTGGCCATTTACTTTTCCTTCTGAAACAAACCTCTTAAATTCACCATAAACATATTACACACAATGTTTAGATATGCACATGCTTCAAAAATTACTGTACATAATATAATTGAAACATCAAGTATAATGATTAATAGAAGTAAATGAATAATCTTCAGACTTAATAACAGCTCTTCATACCGGTCTCCTGAAAAATCAAATCTCAAAATCTAGAGGCATCATACAAACCACGTTTCCCCCACTTAAATGTTTACCCCCAGTTAAATGTTTTCCCAATTAAATGGTAACTAATAATGAGTGCTTTTCTTGAAAACATGTACTTAAAAAGTACTTACTCCAAGAAATATGTTTTTGGAAGAGTCAAATCCAGCTGCAAATATCCGTGCTGTGTATGGTTCATTTCTGTCACACACAATCCTGCAGGCAAACCGAGATATGGTGCTTTGTGTGATCTGGGCTTCATCATTGTTTTGACTGCCAGAAATGGTGTCTGTGACGACAAAGTCGATGGGGCTCTCTGTGGATCTGCCCACCTAAATAAATCAAGCACTCATGTCAGACCACCTACCACGAATGCTCCACAGGGCATGGGTGTCCAGAGCCATGCTAACGTTCACTTTGTGCTCTGACGATCAGAACATAAGGGAAAAAAATTCAGCTGTGTTCCTTTCCTTACTTAGTTAAGGGAGAGATTACAATAGATTACAACAAACTCACTAACCTTACTCTATTGTGGTACAAACACTTAGCATGAGAGCTACCCTCTCACCACATATTTGAATGTTTACTGTAACTACAGACAGAGGTACAATGTCACATGGCAGATCTGCTGCACTTACCAGTCCTACTCCACTCAGACTTTATGGCTGTTGAGGAGCCCATCAGGATTTCAATACTAAGAGAAAGCTCAATTTTCTATTTGAGAAAGCTCAATTTTCTATTCTAGAGGAAAACATTAGACCTTTCCTACATATTAGATTTTACCTGTTGGATCCAGGTAGAAATAGTACTCTCACAGAGAATCATTCTTTTCTGTTTCCGGGAAAATCTAGTTTTAGGTAAACAAAGGGATGCTTGCCTCCCACTCCTGAGTTCAGCTTCTGGGAATGGCTTTCTTCAGTAAACTGTGACTGTCAGCACACCAAGCAAGAGACAAAAACTGCATACTTGCCATTGCGCAGAACAATGTAAATGGCCGAAAGGGCTTAAACAAGCCAGCCCAGAGCTGAAGACAGAGACAAGTGAAAGACTTAAAAAAAACCCTGCTCTTAGCATTTTGTTTGAATTAAAAATAACAAGAAAGACACTTTGGGAAGTCTAAAATGTTGCTAGTAATATTATTTTCTTGGTAAGATTTAGATGCTGCCAGAAGGCATCATTAAGAAGTAGCTAGCAGAGCTATTCCTACTCAATAAATTGAAGTCAAACAGGTACTGTTTTCGCCTGTAAACTAGGAAACTAGTAAAACTAGGAAAAGTACTTGTTTATGAACAAGGAAATCCTTAAGATAGAATATTAAACATTTATATAATGATCTTCTATGAATCTTTAACTGGAAAGTAGTGATAAATGTTCTATTTATCAAAGAACCCCCATTTATATGTAAATGAGAAATTCTCACAAAATATGACATCCTCAGTAACAATAGTGAATTTGATCCCACAGCTGCCTGTGGAAAGCAACGCTGAGATGTGTGTGTGTGTGTGTGTGTGTGTGTGTGTGTGTGTGTGTGTGTGTGTGTGTGTGTGTGTGTGTGTGTGTGTGTGTGTGTGTGTGTGTGTGTGTGTGTGTGTGTGTGTGTGTGTGTGTGTGTGTGTACATGTACTTGTATTTCCCTGAAACCAATTTCCAAGGTCTTTTTATTCTGACCACAAAATTCTGTTTGGAATATGAGCAATGTTTAAAATACAGTTTTAGTTCAAATGAATAAACTAACAGGCTATCTTGTATCACTTAGCTCTGCTTGTTTCCTGGGGAAAAATACTAAATTTCTTTTGTAAATCTCTCCTATATTTCATGTATAAACTATCCCTGTAAAATGAACAGAAAATGGACATCTATTTTCTTTTTCTTACAACCTTGAATCTCTTGTCCTAATGAAATATGCCTGGAATAAGCTAAACCACTGGTTTCACTGAGACTCACCAACTCAAACAGATGCACAGTACCTGGATGTATGGTTGCTCAGGTTTAGAAAGACAAGTTGTTAAAAAATGCAAGATAAAAATCTAAACCAGAGCTATTATAAAATCCTACTATACAATTCATCCTTCGAGAGCTGTATTATCTTCTTTCTGCTGGAGTCATCCAAAAGCTGAGAGTATAACTCAGAAGCTCTACTAACAATGCTGTTTTTTTTAAAAAAAGTTTTTAGCAGAAGAAATGAGTAAACTAACAACTGCTTATTGTAAAATATTTAACAAGTGCAGGAAATTAACAGGCAAAAATAAAGCCTGCTCTAAATTCAGGAGCATACTTGTTCCAGACTTTTAATAGGATCCCCTGTGCAGCAGGAGCTGCACAATGACACCATCTCTGTCCTCATTTCCACCAGACTTTTCATGCTTTGATGTGTAAGTTAAACCACCCTCTTCTATGAAGCCACAACAACTGCTTCTTCTGGAATATTCCAAGGGCTCCACCACAGAGCCCTCTCTACCTCTGCCCCTTCAATCTACAGAGAAGACTCTCCTCTAGGAGGGCCACATTCTGAGTTCAACCACACTGATCACATGAAATGTCTTTGTGAGTTAACTGAAACTGACTGTAAAACATGAAATTTTATTCCAACTGGGACATCTGCTAGGATCAATTATGTTGACTCATGATCTTACCTGACTGGCCATTTACATCTAACCTCTGGAATGCTAGTGAAGTTTTATACTTTAGGATGCAGACCTCCTTACTGCTGTTTCCAGGAAAGGAAGCAGTCTGGGTAGAAAACCGTGCAAGGTATCCTTTGCTTCCCATCAACTCTGCATTTGCATGATGCTTCTGAATTCCAGCTCATATCCACACTGGCTACTGCGAGACTTCCACTCCTCCACCTGATACACTCTAATTATATGTAAGGAAGGTGCCCCAAAGCCAGTTAAGGGGAGACACTGAAGCGCCCCATAGGTCTCTGTCACCTCTCCCCCCTGGTCTTCCACACCTTCCCTCCTATGGTAAAGCTGAAATTTGAGCTTTGACTTAGTCTTTTAAAAGAATTATACTATTGGCGCTCTCCATAGAGTCTATTACAACAAAGTAAGTACCAGGAAATAGATAATTGCAGGAGGGGAGGGGAGGGACAAGGGTAAAGGATAGAGAATGCAGCAAGAATTCATTGTACATACCACAGAATTGAGAACTCTAAGGGAGGGGTGGGCTGAAGGGGGTAAAGACACTGAAGTGGTGACGCAGATCAAGATGCATTGTACACACATAAACTGCTTTGATCAATGGCAAAAATTCAATACACAATCCAGAAATTAAGAAAATTGAGGAAAGAGGGGGATTGGGAAGGGTGGGTGAGAATGTTGAAAGGGGTGACACTGATCAAGATGCGCTATATTCATAAACTGCTTTGGTGAATGGCAACTCCTTTGTACAACTACTTAAAGATCATAAAAAATACTTTAAAAAAGGATGAAATGGTGTCCCTCCCCATGCCCCACCTCTTCGCAGATGCCTGCCATCTCAACGGCCTCCCTCCTGTCGGTGCATCTGCTTTGTCCCTGTTCTCTCTCTCAAACCATCACTTGCTCCTCCACACAGATCCTGCCAGAGTCTGGCAAACACATCCTGAAGTTTTACAAACTGTGGCTGAAGTAGTAGTTTTGGCTTTTGTTTCTATTAAAAATTCCAAGTGGTGGTTGATACTATTTAAAAAATAACCTTCTTTAAACATAGTCGTGCTGATAGCTTCAGTGTGGTCTTGTTTGTGAACATTTGGGTAAATGCCCAAAAGTGGGATTGCTGGGTCATAGGGGAGCTCTATGTGAGTCTTTTGAGGAACCTCCATACTGCTTTCTAAAGTGGTTGAACAAGTTGACACTCCCACTAACAATGCAGTAAGGTTCCCTTCTGTCCACATCCCCTCCAGCATCTGTTATTAGAGTTCTTGATTATAGCCATTCTAACTGGGGTGAGGTGGTATCTCAATGTTGTTTTGATTTGCATTTCTTTTATGGCTAGAGAGGTTGAGCATTTCTTCATGTGTCTATTGGCCATCCTTCTTTCCTCTTCAGAGAAGTTTCTCTTTAAGTCTTTAGCCCACTTATTTATTGGGCAGTTGTTTGTTTGAAGATTTGTTGTAGGGGATTTAATTGTTTGAGTTGCAGGTATATGTTAGATATGAGACCTTTGTCTGTTGTATGGCTAGTAAATAGCTAAGATATGGAACCAACCCAGATGCCCCTCAGTAGACAAATGTATCAAGAAAATGTGGTATATATACACAATGGAATTCTATGCCTCCACCAGAAGGAATGACATTGCCCCATTTGTTAGGAAATGGAAAGCCTTGGAAAAAATTATATTAAGTGAAGTAAGCCAGGCCCAAAGAAACATAGGTCCCATGGTTTCCCTTATTTGCAATAACTATTATATGTCTGAGTCAAGCAGAAAAGGTCAGTTAAGTTGATGTTAGGGAAATGAACCCTAAGATATGTATTCAAATGTTTTTTTCTTTCATGCAATTGTTTCTAACACATTTATAAGATGATTTCTTTGTTGCTTTGTATGTCCCTCCTCCACGGTATAACCCCTGCTTTCACTGTATTTGATGTTGTTATAATTTGTGGAGGGGAAGGGGAAAAACAAATCAAGGGATACAGGTGGACCCACTGCAGCAATGAGATGTACAAGTCCTTATGTCGAAAACGAACTTTACAACTTTGGTGGGGGAGGGGAGGAGGGTTGGGTGGGGGGGTGGGGGGAGGATGGGATGGGAAGGGGAAACAAAGGAGGAGGCTACAATGCTTGATAAGAAATGTACTCATTATCTTGCCCATGTAATTGTAACCCCTCTGTACAGTATTTTCACAAAAAAACCTTCTGTTTTGTTGGTTTTTTTTTTTTTTGTTTTGTTGTTGTTTTTTTTAGTCGGTCGTGGGCCTGAACTCTGGGCCTGTGTGCTGTCCCTCAGCTCTTCAGCTTAAGGCTAGTGCTCTACCACTTGAGCCACAGCGCCACTTCTGTTTTTTTTTTTTTTTTTGCTTATGTGGTGCTGAGGAATCAAACCCAGGGCCTCATGCATGCAAGGCAAGCACTCTACCACTGAGCCACCTTCCCAGCCCCCTTCTGGTTTTCTATAATACTGGAATGGGGCTACTATGCTTGGACATGTCTGCAATACTGAAGTGCTACAAAAGTTCCCATGTCTGTGCCTGGTGCTTCCTGTATTGCCAATCACTTCACTGTGTGCCCCGTGCACAGGGTGAGCAGCCCCGGCCATCTCTGGGCTCCTTTTTTAGAAAGACTACTCATCAGCTCTAGCCCAGAGCTCCCATTCTCTCACCAGCATACACTTCCCTTTTTCCACCATCTC